TGTAGCTGCAAGTAGTGTAGGCACTGGTTCAGGTGATAGTGCAGCCTCAACCGCTGTAATGGGCAGTCTGTGCTGCCAGCAAAGCCAGGGCCAAGGCTGAAGCTACGGCTAGGACTAAGTGTGAATTGGTCCGAAAAGAAGAGCCACTGTTCAAGCTGCAGCTGGTCCTGTTCCTGGACAGTGGAGGATAGCCTCAATTCCACGAGGTCGTTGCAGCCTTCAGTCACAACGTGTCCCTCGTCCTGGTCTTCATCAAGCTCAACGAGCGTCTGGATGCTCTGTGCACCAATGCCTTCACCGACGAGGAAGGAAAGTGGTTTACGGAGCAATGCCCCTCACTGCTCACCAACGAGCAGATGGTAGTCGAGTTTGTCCACACCATGATGTGCAAGCCCGTGGCCGGCAGCGAAGGCATGCACACCAGGTTCATAGTGATCGGCACTCACAGGGATCTGATGCATGAGTGCGATGAAACCCTGAAGCAGAAGAACGAGAGGCTGGCCAGTCTGTTTCTACCGGCCCTGGAGGAAAACCTGGTCATGAATGGCGACGACATCATCTTTGCCGTCAACGCCGAGAATCCCGACGAGAATGACGACACGCTTCGATCTGATCCGCAAGAAAGTGGCGGACTTGAGTGGGGCCCTGGATGTGGATACCCCGATAGCGTTCCTCGTGTTGCTGAACGACGTGAACTTGTACGCGGAAGAGCAGAGAAAGAAGGTAGTGAGCATGGAGGAATTCCAGGCCATCGCTGGGAGGCTGAAGATGGAGCGACAGAGTCTGGAGGCTGCCTTGTTTTCTTCAACCATATGAGCGTGTGGATGTACGTGCCGTCGGTCCTCCCTGGTGCGGTGTTTGTCGACCCTCAGATGCCACTGGACAGCATAAATCGAATAGTCCAGTACAGCTTCCGGGTGGGGGGTGGTGCGATTGCAGGGCTGGCTGCGAGCGAGTGTCGACTGTGGAAGGAAGGGGTGGTGAGCAGCGAGATGCTGAAGGGAGAGGAGTTCCGTGGTTGCTTCGTGAGGGGTCTGTTTGAGGCAGGCGATGCTCTGAAGCTGTTCGAGAAGCTTTACATTGTAGCTCCTCTGAACGAGAGGGAGTTCATAATGCCTGCCATGCTCCAGACGGTGGCAGAGAAGGATATGGAGCGATATGTGCCTGCCCCCAGTGAACACGTGTCCCCTCTCTTTCTCCACTTCCACATGTCCCGCATCGCTAAAGGTGTCTTCTGCTCCACCCATACCTGCATGCGCTCCAAGTATGGGTGGACCACGGCTTATGCCATTGAGAAAAGAAAGAAAGTTAAAGTTCCAGCTTGTCTCTTCCGCAATGCCGTGCGGTTGCAACATCCAAAGAAGCCGTATAAAATCACGCTCGTTCATGCAGTCACTCATTTCGCTGTGTACCTGACTGCATCGCAGGCCGACCTGCCCAGCATCTGTCCAGAAATCCGTGACATGCTCATGGATGCAGTGGATAGTGCAGCGAGTGCTTTCCACTTCAAGAAGTGGCGAGCCTCTGTAGCCTTCCAGTGCTCCTGCAGCCCAGACGATGTGCACACAGCCACTCCAAATGAAGCCCACTCCAACCTCATCTGCTCAATCACTGGGGACATCAGTGAAGGTCCCCTCACTCCTGGTCAGAGGGTGTGGCTTGGACCACGAACTGCTCCAGGTGAGACTTCGGATTGTGTGTGTGTCTTGTGTACACTCTGTTGTTTGATTTAAGTCAGTGTTGAAACTGTTTTCTCCTCTTTTCCACAGCGGCCGAGTCAACTACAACTTCTCTCTCGACTAGTGAACCTGTGTCGTCTATCACTGACCCTCCCTCCCCGTCCTCTCCGTCTTCCAGAATGGGTGAGCTCTGACTGTTGTGTGTGTTTCTGAAAACCAAAGCTACATACTTAGCCTTTGCTCTAACTATAAAGGTTTGAAATGGGCTCAAACCTGCATGGTATATAATTGAAGATTTGGGGGAGTCTACATCTCTTCTCTCCCCCCTTTTCATTTATTCCTCTCCTCACTCTTCTGTGACTCTTTCCAACTGCAGATGAAGGGCCGACACTTCCAGAGCTCCTCAGTTTCCCCACACACTCAGCAGGAGAACCGATAAACATCATCACAAAAGTCGGAGTGAACTACGAGATGTTGGGGACTCTGTTACTGGAGGACAACGATGGGTCCATCATACCAACCATCAGATCTCAATATCAACTGGATGCCGATAGCATCACCATGGAGATAATGAGGCGCTGGCTGAGGGGGAAAGGGAAGCAGCCGGTGACTTGGAAAACTCTGACGGACTCTCTCAAGTCCATTGGTCTCTCTCCCCTGGCCTCCTCCATTGAACACTCTCTCACCAGTAGTTCATAATGAATGTTCATCATGGTCTACCTTCCTTCTCCACTCCTCCCAATTCCTCTCCCACTCTGTATCAATTTTGTAAGGGCACCCAGCGGTAGTCTTCATCATAACCATCTCTCTCGTCTCCTCTTCTCTCTCTCTCTTCCACATACCTTTCCCTGACATAATTACATCACCACTTATGTTTCAGTTTCAATTTGTGATAATTGTGGTTTTCTCTTCTCCTGTCTTTTTACCACCCTGTAAATTTTTATTGCACACGTGACGTGACCATATGTTCTATACTCACTTTCTTATCTTCACTTCACTTGTTTTCTCACCCTCTCATTTTCTTCTCATTTTTGTACGGGCCATTATAAAGCATGGCATTATTCGGTGATTACTTTCTTGTACCATCCTACTTTTCCTCTCTCTATGACATAATGTGACGTAACCTTTATTTTGGGCATTCACTTTCTTGTTCTGTACTTTCTTCAGAGCTTCATTTTTGTATTTTGGTTATTAGACTGGGTATTATGTTTTCTAGAATGTGGCTATGGTGGCCTGGAGTTTATTACAGACGACGGAATCCTGTAGATACCAAATGGCGGGTTCCCATGAGTTAGTAGAATGCAACAATGCATAAACTTCCAAAATGTTGTTTCTATTATCAAAACAATATTATTTTTATTGGAAGGACATTTTGCATTCAACGACGCTTTACATGAAGTTTGCAATGGTATATATGTATATTTTTTATGTCCATGGGAAACCCCCATGTGTATAATTGGCGAGCGGGAGCGATCCAACCTATAGTCGTTTGTTCTAGCGGAATTTTTCGGTATAATAATCGTCGTTGGTACGTCGTGTAACTGCGCATGCGCGGATTCATACGCGCTTATTTTTCACCGATATCATTTTCAATTTTTTGTACATTTCACACCACACACACACACGCTCCCGCGCCGATCGATCTAGCCAGCCAGAGAATTCTCCATTCGACGGCATGCGATGCAACCTTCGGTGACTGACCGAGGCACTCTTCCCAATCTTCATGGTTCGAAGGTGCAATTTCAAAGAAAGCTAGGATTGCTCGTGCAGATACTGCTGCATGCCTGGTGGACCACGAAGCATAACGTAAGTACCGTTCTGCCAATGTACAGTACGCATGTAACGGCGACTGGTAGATCTGTCTTGCTTCACGAAAGGAAAGCTGTGCGCTGACGGAAGGTTATGCAGCCTGAACATCGCGGGCAAATCCCAAGTTGGGTCGCTCCCGCTCGCCAACAATGTTCAACATTTCCACTAGTTGGCGAGCGGGAGCGAGCCAACCTAGTCGTTCGTTCGAGCGTAATTTTCTATATCTACGACCGGACCGTGATCGATCGCACGTCGTGTAAGTGCGCATGCGCGTCTTTGAACGCGCTTCTTTTTATCCGGAACTATTTCCAAATTTTTACACATTTTCACACACGGTGCCTCGCCGATCGATCTATATAGCCAGCTAGAGAACTCTCCCCCATTCGACGGCATGCGCTGCAACCTTCGGTGATTGATCGAGGCTGTATAGTGCAACAAGGCATAAACTTCCGATTTTTCTAAATAAAGCCACTTCCGCAACGTGTATCGGAATGCAAGTTGCTATATACCGTTCGAAAGCGCGCATTCTGATCTTATTCATGGTGTGCCTAAAATTTTGATAGGTGCTTCAGTAAGTATTTTTGTAGTTTTCCCGCGTATTTATGGTATCTTTCTCCAGAAATAAAAAAATTTCACCAGGCAAAGACGCGAATGACGTCATCACGCGCTTGCGTGCATATCATTACTAACTGCGTGTCTTTTCCGCCCGACGAAACGCTTGGATTTCAGCGATGCCACCGAAGACTAAGCGGATTAAATTGCTGCAAGAGAGTGCCAGAAGAGCGAGAGAAGGCTTGAAGAGAGTAAAGGAAGGAGATAGCGCCGAAGGAGCCAGCAACCAACGACCTTTTGTACCTCTCTTGCCACCACCAACAGAAGCCATTGTATCTGACTGCAGCTCGGATATGTCGTATAATATAAGGGATGAACCGCCTGACTCAAGGTTGGAGGAGTTTGTGGAGGAGTGGGTATGGTCTCTTTCCCGCGATAACGTGGTTTCCCTTGGTCTTTTTTTGTGTTTTAAGTTAGAAAATCTTATGGGATTTTCTGCAACTAATGCAGCAGAGTATGCCTCTATTATGCTTGGTAAATCAGATCGAACTATCAGGCAACGGAAAGCTGACTTCTTAGAATTAGGTGATATTCCCGACAGTCAGCAAGGGCGACACCAGCGCAGTGGCATACTGTGGTCGTCGGAAGAACTAAACGAAAAAACATCTAAGTACGTGAGAGAAAATTCAAATGTTAAGGGAACGCCTAATCTTACCGTGTCATCATTTTTCCATTGGTTAAACCATGATCTTCTTCCTAATTCCTGTTTAGAACCAGGGTTTCCACGCCATGTGTCAGTTGAAACTGCACGCAAATGGTTGCACTTCCTTGGTTTTGAAGTTTTGTCTTCAAGCAAGGGCATGTACTTTGATGGTCATGAACGGGAAGACGTCGTGAAGGAGCGATGTGGGTTTCTAAGAAAAATGGTTGAACTTGGCTTCCTTTATCCTGATCAAGCTCCAACACCTGAAGCTGCTTCTGCCTTTCCCAAGGATATCCCTCTTGCGTACTAGTGAAGTTCGTACCAAGAGTGTTTTCTTTTTTCACGATGAAAGCACGTTTAACTCAAATGAAGATCAAACAACTCAGTGGGGCGAGAGGGGTCAGCACATGCTTAAGCCTAAGAGTAAAGGGTCTGGTGTAATGGTTTCGGATTTCGTCAGTGAGAAGCATGGGTATCTGGCATTGAGCGACGATGAGTATCGAAACGCCACTAAGGAAGATCCAACCATACGCCAACAAGCAAGACAGGTCCTTGCCTATGGGGAGAACCGTGAGGGATTCTTCCCAATCTTCATGGCTCCAACGTGCAACTTGCAAATACGCTAGGATTGCTCGTGCTGCCTGGTGGACCACGACCGAGCTGAAAGCGTAAGGTAAGTACCGTTCTGCTCACCTGCTCATCGTTCTGCCAATGTACAATACGCATCAACGGCGACAGGCACATCTGTCTTGCTCCACGAAAGGAAAGCTGTGCGCTGACGGCACGTTATGCAGCCCGAACATCGCGGGTGAATCTCGAGTTGGGTCGCTCCGGCTCGCCAACAATGTCCACTAGTGTAAATATTTTACCGTTACGTGACGTCACCAACGTATTGCCGCGCGAAAGTGAGAGAGAAGGAGTCTTCGAGAGGATACCACCGAAATCTGCTAAGAAGAGACAGCGAGAGTTGAGCCTCGAGAAGGTAAGGGAAGAGAAAAGAAGGCGTTCCGCGGGCGAGAGGCTGAGTCGTGCCTCGAAGGAAGACGATGTTAACGATATTGGCAGACCTCCTAGACGTCAGTATTCATGAATTGGACACGGATAATAAAGATATAGACCCTCCCTTCACCTAGATGCGAGCATGAAGTCGGACAGTGAGCATATGACCGAGCGCTTTTGTGAAGACTGGGTATCACACTTCAACCTAGATGATTTAGTATCTCTGGGTATTTTTCTTTTTTATTTCTCTATGCTATTGTACTTTTTCCATTTTTTTGCTGTAGCAAATGTAGTCCTATGTATTACCACTCTCTTGGAAATTTTATATGTAATAGCTACCCTGAGAATTTCCATGTCATAAATCAAAAATAATTCATGAAATATTCTACAGAAGAAAGAAAACTAAATTGTCTGGTAGATTAGTAGAGCACATTGAGAGCTTTAGAATGATACCCATTTTGTCTATGTAAGGTGCATTATGAAAATCTACATGTTCTAACAGGAAAATTACATATTCATGTTTATTTATGATTACGTAATGGTTTACTTCTTGATGTCTTGACTATTGTGTTAAAGTGTTATTAGTAGAGCAAACAGAAGAGAAGTTAAGTGCAAAAATAAGATTTCCCAATTATTGGAAGTAATTATACATGCATTGTTGCTAGGCCTTCACGAAATTTGCTATATAGCATAATTTTGAGCAAAATAGGTAGCAAAGTAAATAAGCAATTCTGCTAGCAAAATGGGCTGTCAATTTTACCTATGAAGCAAAATAGGCAGCTTTGCCCTGTTCCTACCAACCACCCATGCATCGGCGCCTCTGTGCCATTTAGTGACAGGCGTTTCAATGTTTCGCACGGTAGAATACACGTTTTATTAGAGGTCTACTTTTCCCCCTCAAAATGTTCTGAGCTTAGGCCAACTGTTGTCGACATTGATAGCTTGCGAGTGTTTCCGTTTTTGGATTCGCAACCAATGATTGATGGTCTCAAGGCTGAGTTGCCTGCATACTTGGCTGCTGCGGAGGACGTATCTACAAGAAAATTGCGTACAATAAAAAGCAAAATAGGTACACTTATAAAGCAAAATAGGTAAAAATATTGAGCAAAAAAGAAAAGCAAAATAGGCAGAGAAAAATGCAAATTTCGTCAAGGCCTAAATTTGTTGCACTATACCCTTGAGATGCTGACAAAATCAAGAGAATGGAATTGTACAGTCCTTATGGACAGAGGAAGACGCGGAGTATAAACAAAGATATAAACAAAGATATAAACAGGATGTTGACAGCAGCTAATTGCATGATGAAAAGACCACAGCCATCGATGGAGGAGGTGCACATCCAAGCAAGGCGAGGGGAATGTGGGACGGAGTGACTTGGGCTAAGAGTCAGCTGTGGTCAACACAACACAACACGAGACAAAGACAAAAGCCGAAGACCACTGTGTCATGGCACAGTATTGTCACTCAGGGTGTGTAGGATTGGAACGGGCTGATAAAACCAAAAACGTTCAACTCCAAACTGTTCATTGTGCCTGCAAAGGCAAACTATAGATAGCTATAGTTTGTGCTTATACCTTTATCAAAAACGAGCCTCCGTATAATATTATATAGCGTCTACTAAATGTAGCTACTATGTGACATCTATAGATTAGCTATCTGCATAGCTAGCTTTGAAGCTTGCTCTATAATTATAGCGAAAACGGACGACTTGACAATACTAAGGTAAATGGTGGTAACTTCGGACACGGGGTAACACCCGGACATAACTCGCTATTCAGAAACAAGAGAAAGATTCGGTCACTTGATTACTACCTGCCAAAGCGCTAACAAATCTTCCTCGCGTTTTTTTCGCAGCGCATAATTTCGAGGCTGGTGCAACGCCCCACGTCCGGAGTTACCCCCATTTACCTTAAGTGTCCGCGCGCATGAGAACGTGCGCATAGGTATAATGTTGGGGACCAATTTAAAACCCGAAGCCCCCCAACATAATAGCATCTAGGTATCCGCGAACGTGAAGTATGACTCCTGTGGTACTTGCGTTGTTTCTCGCAATAGCGACCTTTGTCCATGGCCAAGCTCCAGGCGACGGCAGCGACCTGTGTACGGAGGACAGCATTCAGGGGTTCCCTAACCCGTTCTTTGAAATCCGCCCGGTGTACTCAGCTAGTGAGCGGCCTCTCATGGACTCCAGAGACTACCTTCGCCTGCTGCAGGAGAATGGCGATACATATGTACCGTGGCAAAGCTTGGATAGGGACAATAACAATACAAACGGCGTTATAACTGAGGTAAGGACAATCCCTCTACTATTATAATTTGTTATATAAAAGTAATTTCTCTCAGTGGACTCAAACTGTAATAGCCACATGTGCTGGGACAGTGACAGTGTGTGGATTCAGTGAGGGAGCTCAAGAGAACTGGCTCATCACACAGCACATCAACACAGTGCTACCAGGAGTAGGAGGAGAGAGACTGAGGAAAGTGACTGTTCAGTTTGAGGGAACTCTCAATGGATGTGATATCAGTAGACAGTGCAGACAGAGTTTTGAACTATACAAGTGGGAGACTTCAGCCATCGACAGAAATGGAGCAACTAACACCAACAATTATGTCAGAGTTGGTCGAGTCTCTCCCTCTGTTACTAGTGGAGTCACGTCCTTTGTTGATTCTCATAATATTGAATTGGGTACCACAGGTGGATTTTACTTGGGAGTTGTTGACTTGAGCACTTGTGTTACTCTCACAAGAATTCTAGTTCTCTACTATGTGTGTCCAGAGGAGACATCAGAACTCATCTCCAGAACTGAGGCAATTGAATCCCAGTCTCTGGAAGGCTCGCCTTCAGTGGAGGGAGAGTGTGTAGAGAACAGTTCCACAGAGTCTGGGACTAATCCTATTCTCATATGTGGTGCTAGGGGACAGTGGCAGGTGATAAAACCTTGTCTCTGTAATCCTGGGTATGAGCTGGACAGCAGTCAAGACCAGTGTTCAGGTAATGTGACATTGATGTGGTGTCTTTTCATTATCTACTCTCCATGTTTCCTATAGAGTGTCCAGAAGGAACCTTCTCATCAGGACTGGGTAATGGACCATGTGAGACATGTGCAGCTAACAGTGATGGGATGGGAACTGCTCTGAGCCTCTGTCCATGTCTCCAGGACTACTACAGAGTCTCCTTATGAGGGGCCGTCCGTCCCCTGTACACGTGAGTGTCACTAGTAAAGTATTTGATATACTACAGAAAGCATAGTAAGCACATCCTTTCTGATATGACTAGCTACACTTGGACTTACTCATCCCAACATCCTCATGTAAGACTCTGTTAACATGGAGACTACTGTATATTGATGTTTTACAGAGTCTCCAGGACCTCCATCTGATCTCAGAGTGTCAAATGTGACCAACACATCAGCCGTCCTCTCCTGGTCTCCTCCTGATAATGGTGGAGGGAGACCTCTCTATGAGATAGTCTACACCATCCACATACACGGTATGCTTAATACAGTGTTTAAACTCGCCGAGTATCATTCCACTGCCTTAGATGGTTCTTCCACTCTGAAAAAAGTGGTAAACAGTACAGAGACCATTGTGACTGGACTGACACCTGGTGTCCTCTACACATTCTCTGTATCTGCTGAGAATGATGTCTCCTCTCAGGACAACAATATCAATGCCAGAACTGTCAATATCTCTATAGCTACAGGTCAGCTATTAAAATTTGTCATGGTTGCTGATCGCCTAAGAAAAATATTTCTGTTCAGTACCTTCTAGTGTTAGAGACATTCAAGAACACTGTACTGTTGTGGTTTGGAAGGAACCGGCAGAAACTAATGGTCCTATTGAAAGCTACCTTTTGACGTTCAGGAGGGAAGATCTGTCCACGTCAGTAGCGTCTAGTCCTACATACCACTATTACGTTATTCAACCACGTGATATCCCACCTGGAGTTGGACCAGTTACAGTGGAGGTGGGTGCGAAGAGTAGTGCTTCACTTGTTTTTAAATAACAAAGAGCAAAATGGCTGTAAACACGAGCCAACTCTCTTTCCTTCAATAGTAGCCATAAAAATAGTCAGATGAATTTCCATCCCTCTAATAAACTACAGGTGAGAGCTAGGAACGCAATAGGACTTGGTCCTTTGTCACAACCACCAGTGACCATATGTGAGTTTAGATATACTAATGAGACATATTAACTGCGTTCAGCTTGGATTTACTTATACCTTGGTGTATAGTAGCTATGTAGTATTTCTCTGTACCTACAGACTGCCTAAGTGAGAACCCATCTCCCGCTCCAATGCCGACTCCAACCACACCAGAGTGTCCATCTTGCCCCCCACCTGTCACCTGCTCTCCTGCTGCAACCCCTCTCCCTTGCCCAACCTGTCCCTCTTGCCCTACTCCCACCTGCCCTCTAATTACGAGTAGCCCCTGTCCTAACGAGTGTTCACTGTGTCCGTCGATAACTCAAGTCCACCTGAGCCCTCATCCCCACTACCACTGCTGTGCCCCACACAAAGCTCCTGCCCTCCATGTGAAGAGTGTCCCATGGAAGAGTTTAATGTGCCAGGTAACCACTGTGTATAATGTGGGTACAGGCATTGGTTTAAAGGAGTTAGTGACAGCCTCTTCCTGCGCCCCGTCGCGTGCATGCACATCCAAAGAGAGGACTGGGAACCACACTACCGACAGCCTAGCTTCCATTACAATAGGTTGAAAGAACTGGATACTTGAGATCCAGGACCAGACAAGGCTGACTCTACAGTATGTAGTGTGGCTTTGAGTATACTCAACATGCCCAGAGTGTGTGCAGTGGCTCTATTAATGTGCTCTATCTGTGTAGCTACGTAATGTGCTGGCGAGTGTGTTCCTATGGTTGAAAGCACAAACACAAAGACAGTGTGTTTATATCTCTTCTGCATCATGTCATTTTGCTATGTTTGTTTCAGGGATAGTAACCAATATCCGCCTGTCTTCCTGCAATGTTTTGCTGTGGGATACGCCGAGAGATGGTGGTAAATGCATCTCAGAGTACAAGGTTCGGCTGTACAATGGAAGGACGTATGGTAGCTCAGACCAGAGGAGCATTGTGAGTGTCAGAGGAAGGAATATGACAATCAATTGGATCCCCTCCACTGGCACTGTCTCTATCAATGTAAGCCATACAGTATTGGGGAACCTCATTTGAGGGTATGGGTTAGATTTATCATCTGTGGATAATCCCTGAATAGCTATATATAGTATGAAAGGACTGTTGTTAGTCCTTTTGGGTGTTTTTTAGGTAAGAGCTAAGAACGGTGTTGGCTTGGGAAAGGCTTGGAGCTCCACATTCCATCTTCTTTCTGGTAATGCTGCATTCAAAATGTTAGAGTCTGAATAAAAATATCAATTTTTTTTACGCAGAGGCTCTGTCGTGTGACATTTACTGAAGGTCTGGCAGCAAATAGCACTCTCTAATGAACTTTATACCACATTGGACAGAATATTAATTGACTAGTTGTACTTTTGTGTGACTCTTTCAAAACAAGTGCCATTATGTGTCTAAGGAACTTCACAGCATCTCAGACATGTGCTATGTAAGATGACCTGCTAGGGATAAGAAATACCTGCAGTAGCTACCATGTTTTTGTCGAAATGAGCATTTGGGACTGTAAGTGCAACAAATTGCTCATCATCCTGTCACAGTACCCATGGTCATGTGGCTCTGTTGACCTGATATTCCCAGATCAACTGATCTACATCACTGGGGGGACAGATTTGTACACAACAACCACAAAATAATACAGTGACACCTCTTGGATATCGGCCAAGTAGATAGTATGTAATAAGAGTCCCTATGGGAGTTGCACAGTGTCACTGTCAGAACTGCAGCAGTATCAAATACTCTAAGCAGCATTACATGTTGAGGAAAGGTGTGACATTACCCCCACGGATTATAGATATGCACCACATGCTACCCTCCTCGTGTGTAACTTGGCAATGACACTGGATAGTGTCACGGGCAACGGCACACAGAGCATAAAACAAAGCAACTCTTTGGATCTCCACAGTCTATTTCTAATAAATAGCTTCCCAGCAAGTGTGAGTCAATAGCTATTAGTACTCGTCTGTGATAGTCAATGATTTATATTTTCTTCCCACAGCATGGTGAGGTATAATATTATTCTTGGAATACTATTCATCTCAACATTTTCCTGTTGCTCAGGTATTAGCATTATAGCTAAATACTCTCAGTAATAGGTTTAGCTATAGATGACGACAAATATGACCAGTTAAATATTAACTCCTGTGGTTATTCAGGCCAAACTTTTCATTGTAGTTTTGTTAGCTACTGGTTCTGGTCTTTGAGTGTGTGAGATGTTGTGTAATGTGTGATTCACTCTCAAGCAATGTAATTTTTAGGGTGTATGATAGAGGCCTGGCCTGCAGTCCAAAGCAAACATTTGAGCAATGTCAGCTTATGCCAATTTTTGACACTCCTTTCCATTAAACCTTGCTGTTCACTGGTATATAGTGTCAGAAGTATACTTCCGCAGATTGTTTCCAGAGAATATTTGCCTTTGCCCTAGTTGCTCTAGAGACATGTTTTGTATAAGAAGCCTAGCTACCTATCATTGCTGGCCTGATCCATGCAGTTGACTGTTGTACAGTAAGTGTATATATGGTGCTCCTCTTGGGAGGGACTTTCAAGCATCAGTCTATGCTATAGCAGTTGTCTTGGGTGGCAAAAATGTCAAGAACTCCACTCCATTTTTTTTGTAATTGTTGCTGTCACCCTCTGGATGACAAGGCAGAGCTTTGCATGGGAAATGATACTCCCATAGATGGCACCGGGCACACAACCGAGGTGGGTGGGTGCTGATGACCATTCACTGCTGGCATTTGACTCTGGCATATCTCAAAGAGCCTTAATCCACAAGTCACAGCTAAAGTACTTTACTTACATGGTGTGCAAAGAGCCTCTACGACAACTAGACACACCTGCGCGAGTAATAGAGACCAAAGTAGCACAATTTGTGGGAAGATATCCAACTCACGTTACTCCTCTTCTTTCTCCATTTCCAAACATATTATTATTATGATGGTTCATATTTCATTGGTTCATGTCCTCTCACCAGCAACTGAGGAGTGCAGCGACGCGATGTGTATTGAGAATGTGATGTGTGTGCTGAACGATGATGTTATTGAAAGCGATTGTGGATGCCCCTGCAATGATGGATTCCAGTGCAGTGAAGATGGTTATACATGTGAAGGTAATAGGCCAATTATAGCTTCTAGTTAAACTGCTGTGTAGGGGTGTGGGTTACTTAGTATCCTATGTAAACATGATTATTGTTTATCAGCATCAAAAGAGACGTTTTAAAAATCAAACACAGATATTGATGAGTGTGTCCCTGGTTACGACAACTTTACTTGTTTCCCGTACCAAATGTGTGTCAACACCTATGGAGGTTACCGGTGTCGCTGTCTACCGGAATTTGAGAACCTCTGTGGACCTTCAACTGGCGGTGAGATAAAGAACATTAGAACCTCTCATGAATAATTCCCTTTGATGTTGAGCGTAGTAATCAAGTGTCTAAAACCCGTAGTACCAGGTATCTAAGTACTAAGTCTCTAAGTTGCAAGTTAGATCACTGTGATCACTGATGTTTCACAAAGGTCAAATTCATAATAATGGAGGAGTGGGAAGGCCATTTGCTCCTAGCTTCGAGACTGCCGCCGAGCTCATCATACAAGCATCGCAGCGCGCGCTCAGCCCGCGTCACTTGGACGATTTGTTGTTGGTCGCTAGTCAGGCGTTTCCCGGTATAATAATAACGCCTGACTAGCGACAAACAACAAATCGTCCAATCAAGCGACGCGGGCTGAGCGCTCCAGTGGCAGTGTCTTGCTCCGGCGGGGCTTGCAGGATATATCCGTCCAGTTGCTGCGATGCTTGTATGATGAACGCGTCCTGCTCGGCGGCATTCTCGAAGCTATGAGCAAATGGGCCTACGCCGTTTCCCAGCCTAAATTCTGGCTGGCAGAGCCAACTGGGTAACGGGTCTTGCACACTATCGAAAAGACTAAGCGAAACTGCGCTCTCCGTGCCGCGGTTCTAAGCCAGTTAGACCACTGAACTCGTCTCCTCGGTTTGAAAACCCTCGCGGGTCGGATGAAATAGAGACCTCGGCTCCGCCTCGGTCACTATTGCGTCTTTCTCACCCCACCCCCTCCGGTTATTCAAACCTCGTAGTGACTCGTTCCAGTAATCTAACCTATACATAGTTTTTCTTTTTTGTGCAAACACAAGCAGACTCATTATTGGTCCCGAAGGTGTTCATATTAGCTACATGTGTCACTCAGAATCGTTACATCTGCGTCATTTTATTATTTGCTATAGTACAACTGTATTGCTATAGCTAGATAAGTGATTTATCGCTCCTTTGAGGGAATTTATAGGTGCCATTAACAGGAACATGGCAGTACTGCCCAGTCCAAGAATTCATGTATGATAATCAACTGCATTATTTTTTTTATCAATCAGCCGTCTTTGTTTCAAAGTGTCCTGAATGCATTGAGACTGCCTATTGCGATGCTTCAACTAATTTCACCTGTCAGTGCATGGCACTGTCTTCCCCGAATACCAATGGAGGAGAGTGTCCAGGTAAGATTCTTACACCTCATGCTGTTTAAAATATCACTTCTTCTTTACCATACAGAGTGTCCAAGTGGTACTTACACTGTACCAGATTATCCTTGTCAGCTCTGCCCAGCAAACAGCCATTCCCACGAGGCAGGTCTCGCTGAATGCTCATGTCTCGATGGATACTACAGAGCTCCTTTAGACTCAGTCCACGATCACTGCACAAGTTAGTGATTTTGGATATGTAGCCTTGGTGTTCTTTAAAGTATCATCATGCACTTACTACAAAATCCTAAATGCACTCTTATCATGCTCAGACTGTTCCGAAACAGGCACTTCATTTAAAAAAATACAGCTAGCTCGTTTGTAGCTATAATTATATAATATTATATGTAGTAAAACAATTACGTATGATTGTGTGATTTTCAGAGTCTCCCTCAGCACCTCGTAACTTGACAGCACGTGATGTGAGGAACACATCTATGGTCATCTCTTGGCTCCCA